CCCCTAAATGCACTAAAATGCAATATTGTTGGAAACATGTTTTAGGACATAACCTTGCATTTTACAGAAGATTTTTTTAATTTTTTTAATTTAAAGTTTCTGTCAAAATGTAACTTAATTTTTTTTCAAAAACAAGAAAAGATAGTTTTTAAAATAATTTTACAAAACTTTTTATCAAAAATTTGTTTTAAATTATTTTCCAAAATGTTATCTTTTCCTGCATGTTTCTTATAAAATTACGACAAATGGAGAACATTTTTAGAAAATTATTTTTCTAAAATTTTCTGTCAAAATGTGAACTTTTTGAGTAATTTTGGTCAAAAACTAAAACATTTTGATGAAATATTTTTTAAATTTATTTTTCAAAATTGGATCTTTTCCTGCATGTTTCTTATAAAATTAGGGCATATGGAGAACATTTTTAGAAATTTATTTTTATAAAACTTTCTGTCAAAATTTCAACTTTTTAAGACAAATGAAAGTGTACATATAATCAGATGATTACCGTTTAGCTGTTTTTATTCTTCTAGCATCTGTCCAAATGTTTTAATTCTATTTCTTTTTTATTCTTTTATATTAATCTTTTTAATCTTTTTTACATTCTCAGACACCAGATGAATATAATCTAATGTGGATTCTGACTGACACCGTCTCTGCTTTCTTCATCATTGTCATCTTTATTTTCCATTGGTAAGTTTACACATACGCATACACATCAGTCATGATATTTGAATTATCCTCTTCCGCTAGTTGTTACATTTTTGTCATCTCAGTAATTGTGCTGCAAAGTGATTATACATTTTTATGTGATTGTGGCTCTATGCTTAGTACAAATTTCTTGTCCTTAACTTGAAGCCCACACTTCTTCCTCTGTAGAACATTTGAATAGTTACATTAAAGAGAGTGATTGTGTTTCTCTTGCCTGTGCTTCAGGTGGAGAGAGAGAGGTCTGCTCTTCTGGTCCAGCAGCCGTCAGACTCACGAGAATGGCCTATACAGCAAATTCAGAACAGGTTAGAGAACATCAATTTACCATTTTATCATTGTCCTCATTCTGCTTTGTGGTCAGATATATTTACAGATACAATAAATCTCCACCCTGAGATTATTGTGTCACGTTTCTTTGTTAAGTTAAAACAATACCATGGCATCATTTCATGGCTTTTTGAAATCAGCAGAGAGGAGACACTTTCAAGTGTTGTGTTTGCATGCAATGATCTGCTGCTCTGCTTTTTGTACCTGTGTTGTTAGACTCTTTGGAGGTCATCTTTGTTTGCGGGAGTCCGTCCATTCTGACCCATCAGCTGGAGCTCGTGTCTCCCTTCCCACAGTCTTCAACCCATGAATCCCTGCATGCCACTCCCTCACCAACCCTGTATGATTCCTGAAATAAGTTCGACCGTCTGTTGATCATCTTGTGATTCCTCCTAAAACCTGTGTAAAAAAATCATCAAGCCCACATGCAACAGCAATGGCAAGTCAATACAGAAAGTTTTGACAAATAAGTTACAGACAGGTAACAGATGCTGGGTTAGTTCTATGATTGTACTGCTAGAGAGAAGCACATCCAAACAAAGGGCAACTTTTTAAAACTTTCTAATAACAATAGTATTTAGACATTCTTCTCTAAAAATCAGTGCTTCTTGGATGCAGTCCTATTTATATTTTTGTTCTGAAGAATGATGTCAGTGCTGTCTGTGCTTCTACCCAATACATTCTCACTCTCTGATTCGCATGACAAAAAACTACGGCCCACTCCTCCACTAGTGTTTGTTCCCTTAAAAACTTTTGATCTTTTTGTTGCAGAACTAAGTGATGTGTGGTCAATCTCCAGTGCCAATATCCGCTCCGAGTTAAGGAGCACACCAAATTCACCCACCACTCCTCACCTTCCCACCATCACAGAAGAGTAAGAGCAGAGCGAGGGAAACGGAGAAGAAAGGTACAAGTGGTGAGAAAAGAAGAAAATGGAGGACGTTCAAATGAAAGATAAAAGTGGCTTTAACTGACAGCTACTCATTTTGTGAGTACTCAAAATGACAGATTTTAATTTACAAACAGTAGCAATTGTCCTTGCCATCTCTACATCTTGCCCCTATTCTGCAGTCTGGAATAGAATCCAGAGAACCCCAGAGAAAGCATCTGAGAAAAGTCAAAGTATTGACTAAAGGGACATGAGTACAGGAGGAGAAGAACTACAGTGACATTTTTCCTTCCTGTGTCATCTGTGATGACGGTTGCCGAATTGAACTGAACTGAAACATGACTGAAAATGTTTTTCCACTGATGGAGGAAAATGACACCAGTCAAGGACAACCATTGTCCTGCTTCACTCTGTATCATCACTGATGCTGCTGAGACGTGACAGTTAAATACCAACGCCCAGTGACTGAAGCTTGAACGTCTTCATCTGTGTCATCTAACACCAGCGGAGCTCAACAACGCACAACAAGAACTAAACCATGGGGGGAAAAAAGAAAGAAGAAAACTCAAAATGATAAACTCATACCTTGTAAAATATTTCACCCAGAAGTTGGCCAGGTTGAAGGACAAATGTTGGAGGATGCAGCGATGAAGCCAAGCAGAGTGGAGGCTGATGTAGATGAAGCTGGTGAACACAACCTAGAGAGGACGACAACCGACAGCAGAGAGGACAACAACATAGGTAGGACTACAACATCACTCTTCACTGTAGAAACTAAGCTCGTCCTGTTGGCGCAGGTTTTAGGTCTTTTAGAAGAAACCTCAACCCATGTCTTAACCTTTAATGTCTGTACTCCTGTCGTCGTTGGATGCAGTGTATTTACGCTTTTTACGCTGTTTGACCAAATGAATGTAAGCCGAGTCTGGAGGAGCTAACGTCAGTCGGTGTCTTTCTTTGAACTCAAATGAATGTATTGTTGTTTTGGGCCTTCTTTCTCAAAAGCATGGCAGAGTTTGTGACTGGGGTCATTTAGGTTTGGCAACAGGTTTGTGCCAAATGTCCTTTTGTTTGCACATAAAAATAAAAGGTGATGCAAAGCAGCTTCCAGGAATTTAGACATTGTTTTTCTTTTTAGACACACAGGCAAAAACACCTGAAATGCTGGACTAGTTTTACCACTAGAAGGAAGCACAAAAACATTTTAGATTAGATGACAGACGGGGGCGGAGGGGCGATGGAAAGACTAGACAAGGAGGAAAGTCCAGCACCAACCTTAAACCAAAAATCAATCACTTCATAAACGTCACAAATTAAATAATTGGCACCATTTAATGAACATCTTTTTTCCAATAGTCAGAACACAGAGCAGTTAAAGGCAGAATTGAAAAGAAAAAATACAAACACAACAATTTCCAAACTTTTGTGACACAATGTTAACGCCTTTTATTTAGCTCTGTTAAAAAAACTGTTAAATAAAATTAAATAAATTGTGAGTTTAAAAACATGTTTAGAAAAGTTAAATACAAATCTTCCTAATTTTGTTATCAAAGGTCTGAAAAGTTCTTTATGTTAGGGAAGTTGACAATCACTTTCCAATGTAATGTTGTATCTGTTGAACTGGAACAGTTTGCACCAGATAAACATTTTGTTTAAGTTTATCTACTGCAGTACGTCGCCCTAGTTTTGGTTTGTCCCATGGTAATCATAAACTGGTTCATTGTGGGACATAAATCTGACATCTGCTGGTAGATTCTGCAATTACATTAAAGTAAAGTAGAGTTTGTGGTTGACGTAGGATGACTATGAACATCTTCAGTGTTTATCAGTTTTAGAAACATTTTAATATTTAATTACACAGGTTAAAATTAGTGATTAACAAATGAGGAGCACCTCTTTTTTATCATGAAGCTTTAACACACAAGTTCAATTTTTTTTAGAGATTCAAAACAAAAACAAAAACATGCAACAAGGAGAAATAAAAGTTTTCGCAGCTTCACTGCCAATTAGTTAAGATCGATTAGGTTGATTTAACATTATCGATGGCTTGTCAACAACAAAAATAATTAGTGAAAAAAATAAAACTTTACATCCTCATTTGCTTCACGACAGCCCCACCTACAGGTCAATGTGTTGTTTCCTGGCAGACCCATGAGTCATTATGTAATTTAAGGTGAAAGTGTAGTTAGCATACAGTGATGTACTAACTAATATTACAGTATAGTGACATCTATTAACATGCATTTAAACTGTCAGCAAAGAACAACGAGCTACTGTGTTAGAATTGACCAAATGTGACAAAAATGTCTGTGATTCCTCATTATGTTTATATATTTATTTACTTTTATATTTCTAATCATACTTTCAACATTATAATATTTTTTATAGTCTTTAACTAATTAAAAGTTTTAGCTGTAGAATCGTTCAAACTATTCCAAGGTGGAAAAAACACTTCTCAGTTGTGGAATGTAACAATAGTTCATGGATCGCCTGTACATTGTATTTAAGGCTTTTCACTTACTTCAGAGGCGTGAAGTTCCTGTACACAATCATATACTGGAATTCTACTTCAAACGTCACACCTTCGTGTTAGGGAGTGTGTCTTACACCGAGTGCTGGAGGCATAATAAAAATAACAGTTTTTTTAAAGTTCTGTTTCAGGGTCAAACTCAGGGCAGAAAGACACAGGAGAGAGAGACAGAGACAGAGACAGAGAGAGACCTAGAGCTTTTAAATTCTATCATTTAAAAGCTCGAGGACTCTGTGTCCCTAGTGGCCAGTGTTGGTGCAAAACATAGTGAACTTACAAGCTCTTATTGGATGTTGGGAATGACAGACACTGGTTTGTCCATCTTAGAGAGCTGCCTTCAGCACTCAGTGTTAGAAATCCCCACATCCCAAGAGAGATCAATTAAAAAAAAAGAATAATAATGAGTCTCTGTGTCTCCAGGTAAACAGATTTCAGGAATGATGAAATTTTCACAAATGTCATTATTCCAATCATCACAATCATCTTCTGTTTCATTAGTACGTGACGTGACATGGCAGAAGTCATGTGTGTGTTTCTGTAAACATACTGTAGGTGTTTCACAGCAGAAGCTGTGACCTGCAGGACGGAGACGTCAGAGGTAGTCGTCCTCACTGGACAGATCGTCATCCTCGTAGTAGTAGTGATTTAAGTAGTTACTCGGCCCCTCGCCAGGGTCGTCGCTACTCAGGGCAGAGCTCTCCCAGGTGAACTTTGACCCTTCTGAACTAGCAGAAGGACTGCGGCTCATCCTCCACAGCTGGTAGGCAAAGGTCCGCCCCCAACTGCAGTGCTGGCCAATAGGACGGAGGTGCCGAATGAGCTCGGTGGCCTCCTGCCAGTAAGAAGTTCACTTGCTCTGGCCCCTCCCAGTGCGCTGCTTAGTCATTGTGGTCAGCATCTGACTAATGTATGAGGTCAGCAGGTCGTCCATCTTGTAGCCCTGAAAAAAAAAGACAAAAAAGTTGAACTCAATACAGCACAGTGACAGTGTTGTACGTTGATTATAGAGTCTAAAGTCAAGCAGATACGACAGGTCTCCTGGACCATGTCCACCCACCAGTGAGGTCTCACACAGCAGTTTACTTCCTCTGACCAGGTTTCCAATGGTGATGTGGAAGTAGGTGTTGCCGCTGCTCCAGTTGGAGATCTTGGTGAAGGGGTGTGTGATCAGAACGTCCTGCACCATTACACACAGAGGAACATTTTATTAGTCTCTAACCGTCTACGCTTCCAGAGTCACATGATCTGATGTCCGTGCTAGCGATTTACTGTTATTGTTAGGAGACGCTAACCTTGCTCTTTGGGTCGATGAGACTGACTCCATGTTTGTTGATGGCGATGAGCAGGATCTCTGGGTAGTTGGGCTCTGTGGTTTGCTAAAGAGGAGCGAGATTTAAAGTTTGAATTGGAAAATATTTATATGAAGTGAATAAAGGAATAGAAATAAGATCATAGAATGAAATGAATACCAGAGTATTAAGCTCAGGTGTGATTACCTTGACCTCAAAGAAGGCTGAGCCAAATGTCGGCCATTTATAAATGATCTTGAGGAACATCAGCTTGGCCTCTTCCCTTGATTTTCCAGCGTGTTTGTTAAAATACGCCACCACAGACTGTAACACAAACAAAACATTGATTTCTAAACATTCAAAGTCAAATTAACATTTTGGAATATTGCAACAAAAAAAATAAAAATGTCAAATTAACATTTTGGAATATTACAACAAAAAAAATAAAAATAAAAAATATCGGTGTCATTGGATTTTGCACAATCACCCTTTTCCAATCATCTGGCGACATTTGGCGAATTAAATCCTGGGGAACCAACTCCCGAAGCATCTTGGGAATTGTAGGAAAGTGGGATTTATCATCTTCGAACTTGACGCGGTAGATGAGCGCCGCAAGCTGGAAAACCTCTTCTCGTGAACACTTGTGGTAGCCTCGAAGGTACTTAGGTAGCTCCTTTATTGTAGGTGTTTAAAAACATTAAAGTGTTAGATTTAATATCCATGGAAAATGAAGAATGCTCAGAATTCTTTTTCATTATCTGTACAATCAGTTTTACCTGGTAATAATGGAAGATGGAGTCTGCAAAAGTGTCCTTTCCTGGTACTGTAGTCGTCCACAGTTTCTTCATGAAGAACACCTGGTATGTCAGAGAGGGAATGATACCTGGGCGTGGAAGAAGAGCAGACACAGACCACTGCCTGATTAAGTAATTTAAAGTCTCAAACAATTTCTGATGACTTGCTAAAAAAGGAGTTTCTAATCTTGGAAATCCACTTGTTAATGATCACAGTCAAAGTGAGGCCTGTGATGGAGCGCTTCCTCCTTCAGTGATTTTCACTTTACAATAACAAACCTTCTTTTGCAGACCGAGATTTCTTGATCCAGTCGGTCAAATGTCTGACAAAGTCAAAGAAGAAATCCCCCTCTGGTACACTGATCACCTGCACACAGCAAAGTTGTTACTTCAATGTCGTTTTTTATAAACTTGATATAATCTCCGATTGTAAACACACTCCGATCACAGACCTTGTCTGAGATCTTGACGAAGAGGCTGAAGCCTTCAGGAGATTTCAGCAGCAGCCGTGTGGAAATGTTCTGGCAGAATTCCTTTGCTTTGGTGCTGGATTCCACCTCGAATGCCTGCAGGGTTCAAACCAACACTCAGTGATAATACACACGTACTACTTTGAAGGGTAACTGTTTGTTGCACCAGGATCCGACCTCGTCTGTGTCGTCAGGAAAGTAGACTTTGTGGAAAATCTGTGTGGTCTTATGTTGGATAGCCTCCACTTCCACCAGGTGAGGAGGGTACTTCCTGGATCCATTACTGCTAGCATTACGGTAAAGACAAACAAGTACTCCAATTAAGTATAGTATAGTACTAGTAATAGTATATTCAGTGAAATTATCAGCATACATCAAAAAGAAAAAAATGGCACTAGGAGTGAAATAAAATCTGTATTTTTTTTTGTTTTGTTTTGTTTTTTACCGCAGGGCTTTGTGCAGTCTCTGCATGCAGTCTGTAGAGAGTGGGTGGTGTCTCTTAGACTGGAGGAAACGCTGAATGTGTGGCAGCAACACGTTACTGGGTGGAAAGAGACCAGTACACAGCCAGAGCAGCTCCCAGCCTTTCTCCTCACTGTACCTGCAGAAACAAACACTCACACTCAGATACTGCACAAGTACCTAGTACTGTCACAACAATTTTTTTAACTGGATTTCTATTCAGTAAAAAGTTTTCGTCTATGTCTTACTTGACGTGGTTGTCAGTGAGCTGTTTGATGATCTGACAGAAGGTCTCGTCTTTCAGGGGTTCAGCCTTTAGTGCCCCCTCAAAAATCTGGTCTGTCAACTCGTTGACAGCGCGTGTCCGCTTAGATGGATAGTCACCCATGTACTTCATCATAGGTGGGGCAAAGGTCAAGGAATAATCAGGCTAGCAGGGAACGTCAACATATGGATGAACTTTTAGGAATCAGTTGATCACCAACTGTCTTTGGTAAATATAATATTAATATATAAATATAATAATACCTCACCCAACCTGTACATGTGGCTCCATATAAACTACATATTGTACATGTTTGGCCTCACTCGTCAAGCACATTTCAGTATCATATTTTAACTGTACAATAAACCTGTTTGATCAGGTTTCTTTCAGACTTCCAGGTAAATGTAGATGGTGAATGTACCACTCTGTAAAGACATCTCTGCAGCTTCTAGAAGGATATCTATGAAGGACATGCAGGCCTCCTGAGCCAGCTCCTCATGGTTGACGACCTTCTTCAACAGTGGCAGTTTGAGCGGCTCTCTGGTGCAGCTCCACATTTTGTCTTTCCCACGATTCTTGGTGACCATCACTCTGCTCAGAGTGTGTTTGGGAGGAGGCCTTGAGAGGAGGAGGAGGAGGAGGAGGAGGTGACGGATTCAATATCTGCATTTTATTTTTTTTATATACTTTTGTTTTACTCGACTGTCTGCACATCTGTACCTGAAGTAGTCGTAAGAAAACTCCTCCAGTGTGTATGGTTTCATCTTGTCACCAGTGTCCTGCATAACGAGCTGTGACACTCGGACCGACTGCTGACGCTGATCTGGTGTCATGGTGACCAGCGCCTGGTGAGTGAGATTACTGCAGATTACATCATCGGACTTCTCTGTCCCATTAAAAAGTTGTGATTGTAGTTTTTCTTCTCACCACTATTTCTTGCTGAGGTCGAGTCATTGTGGGCAGAACATAGACACAGTCAGCTGGAAAGTCTCCTCTTTGACCGGTGCGTTCATTCACACCATGAGCCCAACCAGAGTTCAGAACCTGCTCACCCGTGTCCTGGTCCAACAGGATCAGGTCTCCCTTCATGAAGCTCAAGAACGTGGACTCCTCCCCAGCTAAGGTAAAAACAATCCAACAATAAGGACAGTTTATTTTATTATATTTACATTTTTTAAGCATTTTTGGGATTTTAAAGAGGAAAACCGACAAAAGAAAATAACAATAAAAACCAAATTAATTAAATATGAAAAACGACAACAGAAAATTACAATAAAAACCAAATTAATTAAATATGTAAATTAATTCAGTACGTACTGGGGTTAGGGTTGTCCTGTATTGCCACCACAAACTTAGACCTGTTCCTCAGACCCTCCAGAAAGGTCACCACCAGGTCACGAATGTCTTCTGCATTGTTGGAGGTGAAGGTGTATTCGTCACCTTTGATGGTTGCCATGGTGAAACTCTGACCCTGTAGTTTTCCTCCTCTAAAAGAAGAATTAAAATATAAAAGTTATCAGCACACAGGGGTTTGTTACATGTATGTTGAATCACACTAAACAAAAGAATTTAGATAGAATAATAATTTGTAACAACAGTTGAATTTAAATTCATGACTAACCAGCCTTGATACGTGCTAATACACATTACCTGCTGCTGGAAACTGCAGAGATTTCTGGGAAGGACAGCTCTAACAGGACCTGCTCCTGCTCATCCACAAAATAAACACCAGTCCAGTTGACAGCGACGATCAGGTCATTTTTAGGCAAACTCGGACCTAGGAGAAGAAAATGACGCAAAACCAGAGCAGGGCATTTTCACTCAGTTTCTATTATTTTTAAGTTAAGTTTTTATTATCTTGCAAACGATAATTTCACCTTCAGCAAATACTGCATTAAACATTTTTGATGATAGTGTGTGTCATTTTCTATAAATAATTCTTCAACAAAAATGTCTACCTGAGAATTTGAAGGCTTCATAAAAGCGAGAGAAGAGCAGTGGCCACTTGTGACGAGCAAAGTCCACCACCTCCTCCTTCACCTTTTGAGGGTCAAACCTCTTCTGGGTGTAGATGCCCTGTGGAGACAGGTGAGCATACTGTCACTTTCAGCTCTTATCCCAAACTCATTTTATCCTGTGCTCCTGTGAAATCCTGCAGTATAAAGACAAATGCTGGAGGACCTTCTTGTGAGCCGCCATGACGAAGTGAGCCCACTTCTCCACCGTCTTAGAGGTGCTGATCTCTCTGTCCGGGACGTAAGAGGGGATGAGGCTGAGCAGGCGTTCTAGAAGAATTTCTGAACCGTAGTCGACATAGTACTGCTGAGAGGACAGCTCTGCCAGGTCATCCTGGTGTTCAACAGAAACACAGCAGAGGTATGATGTTGAAAATAAGAATGAAATGAGTGTTTTCAATGGAGTTCAGTATTTGATGAATGTGTTTTGTGCCTTATGTTTTATGACATTTAATGCTTCCAAATGTTTTCCAACACATTTACAGACAACATGAATCCTGACAAGTGTACAGTGTACATTTAAGTAATTCTTAGATTTTGTACAAATATTTCATTACTTGCAAAAATTAAGAAACTAGAAAGAAAAAGAAAAACAATATTAGGTCCTCACTCTGTCACAGCGGTACTCTCCAAATTTGACACCCCTGACAATTTGTTGATAGATGAGGTTGGTGGCGACAAGGTCATCATTTGGGTTGTGCCATGGTGTGAAGATCTCCTTTCTGAAGAACAGCCTCCAGGGGGCGTTCCTCTCCTGGGCTCCCTGCTCCTTTGCATACTGCTCACACTGAGAGACAGCATCCATCACATGGTCGTTGCCACTGCCTAAGGATGAAACCTGCAGGGAAATAAGATAGATTGACTTTATTGCAAAAAAAATAAAATTCAATTAAACGACTCTGAATCTGCTTAACAACTTTTAAAAACTAAATGTAAACGCAAAACCTCCACATATATCACTTCTTACTGTGGAGATTTTCCAAATGTCATTGAATGTGTGTGTGTTCACACCTTGTCAAACAGGGCGATGTACAGTGAGAATCCAAAGCGGTCTTGCAGGTTGATTTTGTCCGACAGAGCGCTGCAGAGTTCTTTAGCCGTCGTGGCCGAGTCTGTCAGGAGTGTTTTTGTCGTTCCATCCATGAAAGTCACTGGCAGCATTATCGGCTTCTTTGACTTAGTGGCCTGAATGTCCAGATTTGCATTTATCAATCAATATTGTTTTGAATTTTCATTATATCAATGTTTTCTAGAATTATATTTAACATGCCTCTAACTTCACTGTCTATCTTTAATTGATTATAAATGTTTTCTGTTATTTATGTCTCAAGCACAGGTAACAGAAATATTGTATAATGTAAAATGACAAAAGAAACCATGAACCTTGACGTAGATAAATCTGATGTAAACTCTCTTTTTTGCATGTTTGTACCTGCAGCTCCAGCCAGGACGGAGGTTGTGTTCTTGTCCCGTTAACGAAGGTCCGTCTCAGACGTTCTTCACAGTATGGAGCATATCCAGGAGGCCCACCGTTGATAAAGTTCCTCAGATACTGTTGGACCAAAAGAATAGAAAAAAATCACATAAATATAAACATACATTATAATTCATATAAAATTTGTTTTTAAAATCCTTGCCTTAACAAACTTGTCTGACGGAGCGAAGCAGCCGACACACAGAGAGATGAGGATCCAGCCACGAGCGTGAGAACTCTTTGATGGGTTCTGACTCAGTTGCTTACAGATCTGACAGTAGATCTCGTCCCTGATATAAACACACACACAGTCACTGCAGCAGTTCCCTCAGTCAGTACATCATGTGTGTGTGTGTGTGTGTGTGTGTTTACCTCAGTCCTGGTCTCAGTATACCATTACCGATGATGAAGTGAAGTTTTTCCAGGTTGGACGTCGGCCGATCTTCCAGCATGCTGTTTCCATGCACGCCAAACTCACCATCATTGAGGCGTTTGGCAACCTGTGGAGCAGGAAACATTTTCAGTTCTGCATCATGTCACAGGTGTAGGTTTTAATCTTAGGTGAACTTCTCACCTCCTCAGTGATCTTTGATTTCTTCTTCAGGGTGAGGGACACCAGTTTGTGTCTGACGCTGTTCCTCTTCTGGATCTCAGAGTGAGGCGTCTGGAGATAAAACAGAGAGATGTGGAGTTCATCTTCAAGACCTGACTCTCTGCAACTCAACCCATCATCCTTCCATTCCTCCTCTTCCTCACCTCTCCCTCGCCCTGCAGAGCTTGCAGCTCCCTCTTGTACGTCTTTTTTCCCAGGGTTTCATATATTTTGGTCATCACAGGGATTTTCTCACTGCCGTCACTGATGGCAGTGTGGTACTTGGGTTCAGGCAGATCTCCCATGAACCTTAGGATTGTGATCCACACAGCCAGAGCAGCCTGGGTCAAGATTTAGAAAAAAAGCTCTGAATTATACTTTTAAAATAGGTTGTTTGATTTAAATTAAAATCAATTTAAAAGAACCCTCTGCTCTGGAACCAAAATGTCAGAGGTGACGTACCAGCTGGTCTCCTTCATCATCATGAAAAAGCAGAGGCTGCTTGAGTGGCCGTCTGACGTAGGAGTGGGTGGTGGTGCCTTGGAAGTAAGTTGCAGCAAACTTGGCAAACTTGTACTCTGATAAATCTTCCTCATCATCATCCTCAGGCAGTGGAAGAGCCTCATCTAGATCCTCCACATCAAGCTCATGATGTGTCCGCTCCAGGTCCTGCAGAGAAGAAACAATCTTCACACAACTGTCTTTTTTTTTACATTTTTTTCCTTTGATTAAAACATGTTTTTGTCTCACCTCAAATCCACTTGGTGCTTGTCCCTCTTGGCCTGGGAGAGAGCTTGTCGTGCCCAGGAAACCAAACATCTTGTCTACCATATCTGAGTCATTGACAGGTTCATGACGAGCTTTCTCCATCTGCTCCACCATCTCCTTTTTCCTCCGGGCCTCCTCCTTTTCTTTCTTCTCCCGCTCAGCATCTTCTTTGGCCAGCTGGGCCAGACGCTCCTACAAAATAAAAGCATCTAATTTATACCTTCAATTAGAGTGAAAAAGTTGAGAGCATTGTAGAAGAAGAGATTAATATGTTTCCTAAAATATGACAGTTTCACCTGGTGTTTGCGTTCAGCCTCAACTTTGGCTTTTTTCGCAGACATCTGGTTCCTCAGTTTGGTTTCTTCAGCCAAACGCATTTTCTCTGCCTCCAGCCTCCTGCGATACTGAGGGGAAAAAAGTCTTCATTATAAAACCACAACAATATAATATAATATAATATAATATAATATAATATAATATAATATAATATAATATAATATAATATAATATAATATAA